GATGTTTCGTCGAGGAATAATAAGAGAAATAATAATAATAATAATAATAATAATAAGTATGCATAAGGGTGACTTTAAGTTAAATGCCTGAAACACATCAAATTAAAATGACAAATAACTTTTTCACGGATATGTCATTTCGCTTCTATGATCGTTAGGATGAATTAATTGTCAAAACTAAACTGATTTCCAGTAATAGCGTTGCCATTAAGTTATGCATTTAATGTTAAGTCAAACGTATGTACAATATCACTTTATATTTAACTCTGCTATACATGGTGGCAGGTGCACACCCAAGCTATCTAAAAAAAAAAAAACAAGAATGTACTTAACTTTGTTATTATCACTATTTTTAAATCTGCTTGTTTGTACTCATTCGTGTCTTTCGATAACTATTATACATTATACGTATAGTGTTATAGAATTCTGTCCATCTATTCTCGTGGGTATCCTACATGCGGGGAGGATACATAATCTCATGAAACTTTAAATCGGAGTAGTTTAACCCTCTAATCATTCAATTTTCATTATCTTCACTGATTAACAAAACTGTGTTAATAGAATTCAGGAATTGTCTTTTTATTAGATTCTTTACTGTATATTATGTGATTTCCTATAGAGAAACTGCACGGTAATAAGTGAATCTCATTGAGAAACCACTTAAACTGTAGCAGAAGATTAACAGTTGATTTCTAATTAGAGGGTTAATGATAGGCTAATGACCACAGCAGTCGAAGCCCGAACAATATAAGAAAGAAATGTTTGAAAACACTATATTGATAAAACAGGGTGTGAAGCAGTTGCTCAGTGTTCGTTCGTTCATTGCAATCTCGGTATTGAATTTTTGATTAGATCATTTGAATCGATGAAGAATCATACGATTAACTTATCGATCATGTAATTAAAAATATCAAATGCATTTCTAAGCTAAAGCATTGCTTCCCACTAACTAGGTTTCTCTCGACTATTGTACTATTCAGAGACTTGATATTAACATGAATCAATCATAATTAAATCAACTAACAAACTGTTTTTTTCTTTTCTTTCTTTTTAACATTGGTTGCCCATGGCCTATAGGCTTGGAGTGCTAACAATGGAATCCACTCGCCCAGTGCTAACACCTGGACTCTGGAACAACATCCGCGTTCGATTGATTCACCAACCAGATGACCACCTTCGTCGTTCGCATCACCAGCCCTGTTCGTCAAGTTATTATCCATCCTGTATCCTTTCCGTGCTTTGAGAAATTGTGTAATTTCGATTTGCGAATTTTTCTTCCAATCGGGGCAAAAATATTTTACTCACTGTTCGGATGAATAGATCCATCGCATCAAAATTGTTCTATACAAAAAGTAATCAAAACCACAATGTCACAGTACAGTAAAAGCCGGAAACGTGTCTCGGAACAACTATCTTAATTGAAAAAAAAAAAATAAAAAACAAAAAACAATGGAATTCTCAATTTGCATGAGCAACAGTCTCGAGAGAGCCTCGTATTTAAAAGAGATTTATATACATATGTTAACGTTACTATTTCTAGTTTTACTTGTGTGTTAGTTTGAATATGAAAAAATTTTTCATAGTATTAACAAGGATATCGACATAATTTATTACTATTAATTCTTTTGCCCCCATCACGTGTAACAATTACTTTGGTGTTTTGTAAGCACGGAGTTACTCAAACGTTTACTTACGTCTAAAGCACACTTTCTGATTTCTCATAGAATCTTTCGCATCTAAGGAAAATGGTTCGACTTTCTAACGTTAGAATGTTAACTTATTTATTGTTCAGATACAAACCTTATAGTCCCTTATATCTCTGTAAGGAAGTGGGACGTTTCTCAAGGTGTGATATAATCAGAAAACGCAGCGTATCATCGAGAAACAAAAGGAAATCTGTCTTTTGCTATGTGTTGAATACTCATTTAGATGCGAGGTACCCAACGTTGACTAATTAAGAGTCTGTTTGGTCATACCAATGAATTATTATTATATTTGTCAGAATTCTGACAATAAACGAAAGCATAACATGATAAGCCAGTCCTTTGGTAAGTTTCATTCTTGGATCACTGAAACAATTCGGTTGACTTGTTTTTACTCCAAAGTACTTTATTAAACAATTTAGTAATTAAAGTGTGTAAAAAGCAGGTCATAGCATACCATATTCTACAGTAGTATTTGAAACGATTTAATTAGTTGGAACAATTCGTCCATTAAATAGATGTTCATGCAGTTCAGCAATCGATTATAGCACAGGTACTTATTTTATTACAGGTATAACTAGGGTATACATAGCTAAAGATTTATTCTTAAATAAGAGTGGAAAAGAGGGTTGCTTTACCAATTGAATTTATTTGTTTCTTTTCTGTTGTATCACACCTTCTGTACTCTGAGTCAGCAAGATTTTAAGATTATGCCAGACTAAGTTTAACGAATTTTGCCATCTATATGTATATATATCCGTTTGAGTCCCAGGGGTCATTGAAAAAAACACTATTATTTTATAAATATTTCAAGTTTTGTTCAATAAAAATTATTGAAATGTCTGAGACTTTTCGACGCAAAATTTATATAGCGCGATCGCACTGCTTGGGTCCCAAACGGATGTATATGATGAAAGTAATTATGAGTTTGTCTCATTGTGTCTGGACAGATTAATGTTTTTAGTACTTATATTGATAGAAAACATCAGAATGAAGAGGAAATAAGACGAGAAATTGAAATAGTTTAATGTATTTCGTACAATTAATGGAATAGCATGTTCATATATGTAATAGGTGCAATATGAAATTTGAAAATTTGTTTTCATTTTGATATTTTTTATGCGAAAGTGAAGTTAATATTAAGTCTGTTAACATTTAAGATGGGAAAACAAATAATTGAAAATGATATTTCTTTTCGCAACATTTTTAATGTTATATA